CTACCATGGTTCGGAAGGGAGGAAGAGGTCTCAGAGTACCTGACCCTCCTAGGTCACAAAGACCTAAATTCCGATTAGGAGAGAGGAGGCGAACGAAGATCTATTCAGAAAGAATAAACCAGTTTTATTAAGTAAGGACTTGTGTCGTTAAAGTTTCGTTGGAACGAAGTTATGGAAAGTTAATTAACAAATGGAGACGTAACAATACGATTGTTAACAACCGGTTCGTGGAGGTCATTAAATTCTAAGAACAGGTTCGCACGAACCGGCTGAATCCTACCACTGCTCTTTCGTCTTGCAAATGGTAAAAGAAATAACAGTTTTCTCTTATATGCAATAGAAATAAAGTGGAGAATAGTAAAAGTTTATATACAAAGATGTTAAAGTTTTAGTTTTATTATATTTTTAACCTGTTCTGTATATTCATCTTATCAGTTAAATGTATATGTTCTCTGGCTCACTCCCAAATGCGATCCGTATTTGTAAGGCCTCAGCTTTTCATGTTTCCAATCACAATGAAAAACAAGTTTTGCCAAGTCATGGTTGCTTTAAAAATAAGTTTAAACTTTGATATACAGGCTGTTAAGTTTAGTTAATGTACTGTTTTATTTTGATAACCTTCCATTTTTTTTTCTTCTAACACTTTATTATAGTTTATCATTTTCAATATATATATATATATAAGTAGATGTGCACATGTTTGTTCATCGTATTGGATAATCCATGTTAGGTAATCCTTCTTCCCAGAAACTTGTCATGTGTAACCAGAGGAAAAACAGCGCTATTTTCAATTAAATATAATCTTATAATGAAGGCAAAAATATGTAGCTGTTTGTGATATCCGATTACAGCGAATCAAAAGTGTTATCAGGCTGTAAAAGACACGTGGTAAGTACAAAAGGTCAACTACACAGGATCGTAAACAAGAAGACCTTGCAGATAAGTACCACATTGATTTAGTTGAGTGCAAAGCAACTGTCGAAAGCATCAGTAAGGTTCTTGTGGAAGGTAAGTTTATGTAATAAGAAAATATAAATTAAGTTATATTCCCAAGAAGCTTATAATTATAGGTTTATATACTTTTTTTTTAAAGTACATTAATTAATTTAGATCGAATAAGTGGTCTTTAGACAGAATTTTATGTGCCTTTAAAGTGTAAGACAAACTAACTTGTAGTAACTTGTGTTTTAGTATTGGAAAGAATTGGAAGTTTATTACTTTAAATCTAGAATACTTTGAACTATTTTTGTACTGATATTTTGAACAAGCAGAAAAGACCAGCTCCATTTTACCTTATTTGAAGAATATTAGTGTTTGAAAATATTCCTTTTTGGACTATTCCACTTGCTTCAGCAAGATGATTATCATTTTTATATGGTCTATACAGTATTTACATATATTCACCAACGATATGTTACACTGTCTGTCGTTTACTCCTGAAACATCCAAAGTCATGCAAAGTCCAGTATTTTGGACTATAGTAGCAATAATGCTATACGCTCTGAATCTCGAAAACTATATCAATATGGCTTTTGAAAGTAACTTAAAATAATTTCATTTAGATAATTCTGTTTTATTCGATCCATAAGTATTCCACAAGTGGCCTGTACTACTATTTGTGCGTATGACGTATCTGATCATGATGTGCAGTCAAAACAGAGTCAGCTCCCAGATACTTTGATACTTGTATATATCTTGTTGATTCCACCAGTAACGTAATCCACGAAAGTGTGGAATGCTATAAATCCTTGGATGGTTATAAATTATTAGTAGGATTGTTGTCAGACATGAAAGTAAAAGAGATCGTGACTTGTATCTTTGTAACTCTTAAGATGAGTTGTATTTGTTGTAGCTTTTGCTTTTTTATCTCACATATTCGCTATAATGAGCATTAAACTTGTTCTCACCAGTATTGAGTATTAGTAGTGTTTATTCATTGTGATGTTACCTGATTGACCCTAGCTTAGTACTTCTAATGACAATACCTATATCATTGTAATTATATACGTTACTCGTTAGTACCTTTAGATATGATATAGGAACCTTATCAGATTTCAATGATTAATTAACGTACGACAGTTATAAAATACTGAATAACAAAATTTACATTTATAAAAATGTTATTTCATAGATTTATTCTGATACCTTACATAACATTTGCACTGCAGATGCAGAAATCAGTGATGGATAATTAGAGGGGCTGGGTGCAATTTCTTCCCACACTCTCACAGTTTCAGTCTGTCGAATTTTCGAATGGTCTTGCCCTCTCACCAAAGTTTGAAATATTCGCCATTGGCAATAATACTATGAAAGTTGCCAATTTTGTCACATCAATTTTCATTCTTGGGTCAGATGGAAATCTGTAAACAACTATACCCTGTTCTGACTCCTGTCTATTGGTGCAGCCAAAAGCGCTACAGTGGAAGAGCATTTTCGAGTTATTTTTCACTGCCTCGAATAAACGTACGCTACTATCCAATATGGCAGACACTAGGAGGAAACGACAATATCACATGCTTTGAAACATGTTATTATGGAAAGGTCTATTACTATTAGAGTTGGGAATTTGGCACCATTTCACCAAGGTGTATCAAGAAATCCGGAGTACAATGTAATATATATATATATTGTTGAGTCAGCGAGGTCACGTGACTAGTGCCACGCCACGTTTCTAGAAGTATCTTGTTCCTTCGTGAATGCCCTAGCATTTACTAGATATAGGGTAGTCTGGTATATATAAGATGGTCACGGCGTGACCTGACAATATGTGTGTAGGTAATGAGTAATTGAACTGCAGTCAGAAAGTATTGTTGAAGTTAACGTCGTTGTAATAGCGTTTGTTTTAGCGCGATTGTTGAAATTAAGTGTATCGTAAAGTTATATTCGGAAAGAATAAACCAGTTTTATTAAGTAAGGACTTGTGTCGCTAAAGTTTCGTCAGAACGAATTTACGGAAAATCAATTAACGACGTAACAATATATATATATTTGCACCCACTAACAACGTATAATGTAATTTTGTATATTGTGTTCTGTGTTTCCAATTTACGACTTACTTCATACCCACATTTTGAGCAAATTTTGTAACTTTTTTTTTTCGCATGTTCAACAGTATAGTACAGGTTGTTTTCAAATGTTTGTTCAAGATCTCTGTCATGTATGAGTTGCGTATCAGATAATGTAATATTTAATATTGAGTTTTAAGTATTTCAAACTTCTCGTTTTCTTGCGAAAATGTAGCCAACTCAGGTGCGAAGTTGATATTTGTGTTATGGGTGTGTTTTGTTGAATTTATTGTACTGTAGAGTGTACTATTTCTTGAAATATAGAAGGAGATTGTCTTTGCAATGGGTCGTCGCTCAAATCTAATTCTGATTGGTGCAAGGATAGAGCTGATACACTTATCAATATCAGTCCTACTACTTTTACTTTCTAGTAGTAAAGCTAACACTGTATATATGTTGTCAAGCGATTAGTTTGGATTAAGATGAGTTGTCAGACACGTCTCATACTCATAGTATGATTTAATATAATGTTTTCTGTTTGTTACATTTAACATGGTTATAGCCCCCCCCCCCCCCAGTGGCACAGCGGTATGTCTGCGGACTTACATCGCTAGAATCCGGGTTTCGATACCCGTGGTGGGCAGAGCACAGATAGCCCATTGTGTAGCTTTGTGCTTAATTACAAACAAACGTGGTTATATTTCAATGAATTAATTAGACTTAGAGTGCCAGTATTCAGGTTTTCATTTTTTTATGTATTATTATTTCTTATTTTATTCCTTCGTAAACATCAATGTTTGGCTGAACAATTGGTATTGCCCTGCTTCTTGACTACAGCGAAACAATGTGTGTCGTAGTAATTTATCTCGGTTGTTAGTTTGGCATCACTAAACTACACTGGTGTAAAAACCTCAGGGAGGATTGTGTTAAGTTTAATATATACACCTGGAAAAAAGTTAAGCACTCCCAAATATTTTTCAGGATTGCTTATTGAAAATAAGGTTTAATTTT